GACAGGCTTAGCAGCCAATTCAAATCTTTAACAGGAATCTGGGAGTTTTAGAGCCCCTGGAAGCCTCATCTGGATCTATTTTTCCAAAAGTAACACAGGACTTTCTTTGGTATTTGACCAAATGTGGCTTTTCATCCTGAGTGCAAGCAGACGGTCCGGTGCCCTCTGGAATCATCCTGGAAACATTATGTTAGAGCAGCTGCAGCAGTTGCTGGAAGTCAGAGTGGAAAAGTCTGGTTCCTCTTTCAGGAGAACTTAAAAGGTGGCAGAGTCTGTTCCCGCCGTGTGCCTTCCTGAAATCCAGTTGTGTGGCACAGTGGGTATTCTTCAGTCTGTGCAAAAGGTGGCTGGTTTTGCTGCCCTCAGCATTTGTCTTTAAAAGGCTGAGGAGTGGGGTGCCTGGGTGGCTCAGTAGGTTAAAGCCTCTGCCTTCAGCTCAGGTCATGATCCCAGGGTTCCGGGATCGAGTCCCGCTTCCTCCTCTCTCTCTGCCTACTTGTGATCTCTGTCTGTCAAATAAATAAATAAAATCTTTAAAAGGCTGAGGAGCAGGGAGAGGCTGGGAGGGAATGGGCTTCCTCTGTGGCTGAAGGACCTCGGAAGTACTGGTATATATGAGATGCTCCAGGACACTTTGAATGTGGGGATGATGTCTGAGTTTCCATGAAATGGGAATTGAATGCTTACTATTGAAATTATCCTGGTATGAGATCATTTTTGGCAATTAAATAGCCAAACCCCTTTCAAAAGATAGCTCTACCATAGTCAAAATTTTGTTCTAATAGAACGAGAGTTACAGTGGCTTTGTGGGCCATAAATCTAAAAGTGAAGGTAAATCTAAAGCAAATCACAGCAGGCAGGGAGGCAGTTGGAACTAGGGCAAGTCTGGAGAAGTCAGGGTAGTTTCCTCAGGGCCAATCTGTACCTATCTGACCATTGTCCCATGAGCCATAATAAACAAACGTTTTGTTTTGTTTGTTTGTTTCTTTTTTTTTTAAGTAGGCTCCACACCCAGCATCGCACCCTACATGGGTCTTGAACTCATGACCCTGAGCTCAAGACCTGAACTGAGATCAAGAGTCGGACATTTAACCTCCTGAGGCACCCAGGCACCCCAAGGGGGGCATTTTCTTAAGTGAAGTTAAGTGTTGTGTTCAGCTTGGCTCTCTGAACAAGTTCGTGAGTTTTCGTTTTACCTTATCAAGGTGGATGTTGCCATACCTACAATTACCATGTCTAGTTGAGAATGCTGTTAGAAGCCTACTTGTTTTTCCTAAAATAGAGATGTTCATCCATTAGGAAAATACTGACTTAAGAAGGCCTTCCTCTACCTGTTATTTTGCCAATCAACAATTCTGTGTTTTGGATCTTCAGTTAGGCAACACTTTGGGTTACAATCATTATCACTGGGATCAAACAGCAACTCTTTGCTGAGTTTGTCCTAGAGATATAATGCTAGACCCTGGCTGTGCACAGAATAAATCTATGCCCATCAAAAAATTCCAAACTGGTGGTGAGCACAGGATACATAAGCAAAAAAATCTATGGGCCAAAAATGAGGGGGCAACTAATTGTTCAGATTAAAATGCCGAAAGATTTCAAAAGATATAATGACCACTAGGAGTTGGCATATTGACAGAAGACTACTCAGAGGTTACTATTCAATTGTATCAGTGTGTGTGGTGTGTTTGTGCTTGGGCCTCAGGGGTGTGATAGTGATGGCGTGTGTGATTTCGGTGCCCATGGGGGTATGAGTGTGTGTGCGTATGAGTGTGTGTATGAGTTTAGGAACATGTGGAAGTGTGCTATAAGGAAGGCACACAGGGTTGGAGCTGGCAAAGTTTCTCACATGTTCTGAGATTTATCAGCTCCTTTGTGGGTCACAGAAGATGTGTCCATGGAGGATGCATGACAAGAAATCTCTATATTCTAGCAGGGGTGCCTGGGTGGCTCAGTGGGTTAAGCTTCTGCCTTCCGTTCAGGTCATGATCTCAGGGTCCTGGAACTGAGCCCCGCATCAGGCTCTCTGCTCAGTGGGGAACCTGCTTCCCCCTCTCTCTCTGCCTGGCTCTCTGCCTGCTTGTGATCTCTCTCTGTCAAATAAATAAATAAAATCTTAAAATAAACAAACAAACAAACAAAAAACCCTATTTCTAGGAGAAAACACCAGTCCTGAGAGGGCTGAGAAATTTATCAATGGCCAAATAAGTTTAGGAAATGCTGCAAACTAAATCACCCTTTTAAAGATGCAAGGGGCGCTTGGGTGGCTCAGTCGGTTTAGCATTTGCCTTCGGCTCAGGTCATGATCTTGAGGTCCTGGGATCCAGCCCCGTGTAGGGCTCCCTGCTCAACAGGGAGTCTGCTTCTCCCTCTGCTCTTCGTCCTGCTCATGCTCTCTCTCTTTTCCAAATAAATAAATAATTTTTTAATGATGATGCAAAATCAAAGGTACATATAAATTTCTTGGCATACCAATTCACATCCTTGAGAAGAGATTTCTTCTCCCTCTTCACATACTTTGAACGCACTGGTTTAGGGAGATACATAAAGCACCTATTGTTCAGTCCGAAAGGAATAAATATTAACATGCAAGTAATGGAATATGATCAAAGGCTCCTGGGCAGATGGGAAACATGCACCAAGTGGTTTTTTAGAAAAATTAATCTAGTAAGGTAGAATATGGAAAAAGAAGGGGGAGGCTATCACCAAGAGACTGTTCTGAATTCTCACTCTAAATCCATTCTCATATGACTTACAAAGTGTTGGGAATTTTTGTTTGCTTCCTTTTTTAAAGCTTTTCTTTTTAGCCTTGGACCAATTTCCTTAAATAAAGGACGATTTCAAATCCCAACAAATGGAGATAAAAATAAAAGTTATTTGGATAATGACAGAGGCAGAGCAGGGGCCCCTGAACAAGAGTGAGAAAAGGACCAATCTATAATACATGGGTTCTGGGAGAGAATCAAGAGCTAATGGGAAAGCGATGATTTCACAAGGGACATAGGAAATAATATCCAAGTTGCAAATGGCTAAATGGTCCATCAACTAAAGAGAATTGGAATGATCTAAAAGTTGCTAAAACATGATCTCATGGAGCTAAAAATAGATCAAGACCTCAAACTCCAGTGGGGCTAATGGAAGCAAAATGGCACCTGACTTTGTGGGTATCAGCCTCACTTTTAAATTTACTCAAAAGATAGAGGGGAAAGAGAGGAGTTCCAGGACTTGAAAACTATCTGCTTGGACCTGGCATTGAGAAAACTGATGAAGCTTGCCTGGTGGCAGCCCTCCAAGCCAGTGGCTGTGACTTGGTGTCAATGCCTTCCCCCAGAATCTTCAGTATTTCCTTCCTACCCAACATAATGCAATACTGAACAAGTTAGCATATTTTGGGCCATATTATTGTCTCTGAGCAGAAATTTCTGTCCTTCGGGGATTAAAATTATCCATGAGCCACTTTAGGCTTGATTTAGTTCTTACTACTCTTTCTTGACTTCTCATTTTCCTGTCCCTCCTCACTATCCTTCTCTTCTTTAGCCCCCCTTCCCCCTTTTTCAGTGTAACATGTTAAATTCACCTGCAATCCTTTGCACATTGCCCTAGATTCTCAGAAACAAAACAGATATCAGCAATCTGGCAAGGTAATAAACATAGAAAGTAAACATAGTATTGTTTTAGGCAGGTGTGTATTTGTTTGTTGTCAAGGAAAATCAAGACTGTCATGAGAGACCATTCTTGAGAGGGGAACCATTTCTGTAGTGGAATCTAATTTGACTCCAGACAAGGTAAAATGAAGATGTGGGCTCTTGCCCAGGCAAAACTTTGCATTTCATGTCTCCTTTAAGCAGATTTTTAAGATTTCTAACTGGGTACCTGTGAGGCAGAAAGAATGGCCAAAATGGAGATTATGTAGATGGTGCGGTTTAGCCCTCTCCAGCCCAGTGTCCATTGTGTTTCCATAAACACAGGCTACTGTGGAATGTGGAGAAGAAAAAGGCATGCCTCAAATTCTTAAATGATGCAGCCAAATCCTTCCCCATTTAACTTGATTCAGGCCTGTATTTTCCATTTTATTCTCTCCAAGGCCTTTAAAAGAAATACTATATTAAGGAGAAATAAATCTTGTACCTTTGACATCAATCTAGGTATCCCTTCCCAATAGTAATGAACTTAAACTATTTCTTTACATTTGTACATATTTTATTTTTCAGTTAAGAGCCTCTATGTGAGAAGTTTGATTTCAGAAGGGTCTAATCTATTTTCCCTGATCAGCACACCCTAAAATGACAATTAAACCCCATGTTACCTTAATATTGTAAAACACATTTATTAATGGCCTGAAGAAAGAAAGCATCAGGAAATGTCATTGTAGGTGGAATAATATTTCGGGAGCTTTAGGTTAGTGAAAACAAGTGATTATAAAAACATTTTGCTCCCATCTCTAAGTGAAGCAGTAATTATCTAAAATAATCTGTCAACACTAAGAAAGTATATATATTTTCAGCTTACTAAAATTATTTGTTTTTATTAACAGTCACTTCTTTGGATATTTTTTTTCCCCTTTGGATATTTTTAAAATTAAATATAATGACACATGCATGTGTGTATGTTTTAATGTTTCCATTATTTATTTTGTAATTCACAACAAAATAATGATACTGCTAGGCTTTATATGCATTATGAGTCATCTAGGAGAAAAACCTGGCTTGATTAAAGAAAACCCTATTGTAGGTCAAATCCTACCACAGCAGAATGCTTTAACAAAAGACATTAAGCCACAGTGCATCAAATTATTACATGTGGTATCCAATACAACAAAATTCAAGAACACCAAAGAATATCTGAATAGCCTCTTGAGATCCCTCCATGGGATTCGACCTGCTTTTTGGGTCTCTAAATCACAGCAAACTATTTCCATCAGAGAACATTTTATCTTCCTGTGAACCTTGCCTTTAACAACAAAATAATGAAATACAAATATCAAAAGCTAGATCACTTACCATAAATGCCGGTTGAGATGCAGGGAAATGCCTGTGAATAAACCACAAAAATAACAGTAAGTTTTAAAACAACTCTGCTTAACCTGACATCTTCTAGTTCAACATCTATTTACTTGATGATGGGATGCCCTCTATTCACATGCTCAGGCCCCTAAAACGCCTCTCAGTTGGAGTAGGAGATACCGTGGAAAATGGGCATATTTGATTAACTGAAAACTTATCAGCAGCAATCGTACCAGTTCAGGAGAGCCAACTGTCAAATTTCCAGGAATCTTGTGAACCAACTGTTAAATATAGTTATAATTAAGAAATTAAATCATATAAGCCTGCAATGAGATGTTACATCTAAAACAAATATTCAGAAATCATCTCATCACCTCCTAATTATTTTGACCATATTTTACTATTGCTTCTGCCCTTGAAATGACTTATGTCTATTATACATTTGTATGATATAAGTAATGTATATCATATTTAATATAAATACTATATCCATTTATATAACACATATATTATATAACATAAATATATATTAATTATAAATGTGTATACAATATAAATACTATATAATGGTGTTGCTAACGAGCATCCTATCTCAGTTGGACATTAAGTGATGTCATGTTAGTGGCTTAAAATCTGAAAATATCAATCAACGTACCTGTTGGACTATACTTGTGGGTCAACTGAAACCAAAGGTTGGCTATGGATAGAAAATTCTTATAATGTTTGCAAAAGTTTTTTGTAAGAATTGATCAGCTGTATAGAATTTATAATAAAGTATTGCATATTCTATTCTTGTTTGTAAGTTGTGTGCTACACAGTCTTTTTATCAGTAAAATTTAAACAAACTGCGTGTATATATATATATATATATATATATATATATATATATGCTCATTTTCTTAAAGTCAATTTTTTTACAGAGGCACTACTGCTTAAACCATATGCAATGGACTGAATGTTTGTGTCTTCCCAAATTGACATGGTGAACCCCAATGTGATGGTATCTGGAGGTGGGGTCTTCGGGAGTTAGTTAGGGGGAGGGTGGAGACCCCACGATAGGGTTCTAGTTCTCATAAGAAGAGGAAGAGAGCTAACACTCTGTGCTTTTCCCCTTCTGAAGACACAAGGAGAAGACAGGCATCTGCAAACCAGGAAAGGGGCCGTCACCAAATACCAGATCTGTGGGTATGATGATCTTAGACTTCCTAGCCTCCAGAACTGTGAGAAAGAAATGTTGGTTGTTGAAGCCGCTCAGTCCAGGGCAGTGTGTTAGAGTGGCCCAAACTACCCAAGACCCCGTATTTTACCCAGAAATGTGTAAAGAATCTGGCTGAAAGAGTCAAGGAACAAATGTGACTAGAGAGCTAGCTCTAATTTAGGCTCTCTAATGGGGGAACGTGATCTGAGCATAACAATGTCCTCTGCCGGGACGCCTGGGTGGCTCAGTTGGTTAAGCGGCTGCCTTTGGCTCAGGTCATGATCCCAGCGTCCTGGGATCGAGTCCCACATCAGGCTCCTTGCTCAGCGGGGAGCCTGCTTCTCCCTCTGCCTCTGCCTACCACTCTGTCTGCCTGTGCTCATGCTCTCTCTCTCTCTCTCTCTAACAAATAAATAAATAAAATCTTTAAAAAAAAAAAAAAAACAATGTCCTCTGCCAATGGACCTCTGTGTAAATTTAATTAAGTTGTTTTCATCTTTCCCGTATTTTTATTTTTCAGCTGAAAATGAAGGTGATAACGTTCACCATATAGAAATGTGCTGTAGAAATCGATGACGGAGTTTTTAAAAAATGTGACTGACTGTGCAGCAGAACCCAAACTCTGCAGCTGTGGTTGACTATAATCCCAAATGTTATTGCTGAGCTCAATAATGATGGAATGTCTGTCTTTTTTCTTTATATCTTTGGGTTAAATGTGTACTACATTTTATTTTCTGTAAGATTTTTATAGACTGCATGTTTATTCCCTTTACGTGGATGTCCTATTTAAAAAGTCACAATTCATGTGATTTTATTGTAGAAGGAGTTAATAATGGATTCTTTTAAGCTCACCTACAGGTCTGCAAAGTGATAGATTCCTTTTTTCTGTTCTTTTACTAGTAAATACTAATAAATAGGACAATTTCTGAAATGGAATAGGAGCTACTTTTTAAATGAATTAATGAGTTCTTTTTTCTTTTCTTTTCTTTTTTTGATTCCTTGGGTTCTGGAGGTGCCAGTAAGATCATGAGGAATGTTCTTGAATGATTCAATAAATCCAAGGATACAGAACAATGAAGAGATAGCATGTAGCAAATTCTCCTGGAAATGTTCTAGTCTTTTTAAAGGCATTCACCAAGACCACTGACAGGCCTTTCTCTCAACATAAAAACCAGCTGCAAGCTTACTGTAAGCAATTTGTTACTAATAGAAAGGGCCCCAGAGGTCAGGAATGGCTGGCTTAAAAATACAAATACAAATTAGAGAGGATTCGGGGTCATCCCTATCATTTTTGCCATGCTCACTCACATTCTGCTATGCCTTTTAAACGAAATAGAGGGAATTGAGTGTACAGGAATTCCATGCGAATGAACTGAGCACATAAACCTCACCTGTCTTGTGTTTGAGACAGAGAGAGAGAGAGGTTTCAGACCTGCCACACCATCAAGCAGAAGACAGAAGATACCATGATGTTTCGGCAAGCAAGCCCACTTTAAACCCCACCTGGATGTCTTTCCAGTTCACCTTGTTGGGCACTTAACTGAACTTCCCTGGGCATTAGTTTCCTCCTTAGTAAATGGAAACTAAAGGGTCTGTGGGAGAAACACAGGACACTGTATCTGACAGGCAGTAATATCTCCATCTAGCTCCACTTCAAGGGGAATTGGTGTCCTATACCAGTCTTGGCACTGTTGATACTTTGAACCAGATAATTCTTTGTTGTTAGGGGCTGTGTGCTGCATTGCGAGATGGTTGGTAGCATTCTTCAACTCTATCCACTTGATGACACTGTTCTTCCCCCAGTTGTGACAATAAAAACATATGCCTCAATCTTGTCAAAGTTCCCCTGGGGGGCCAAATCATCCCTGGAGGAGGAAAACTGCCCTACAGTTTGGGGCCTAGACTTCAACTGTGCTGTCAGCAGGTAGACTCCAACAGTCAACTTTTCCAGGATTGCCTCAGATGCAAAGGGCTACTCCACTCAGGGTCCTGCCCCTTTCCAGGACAGTCCACATCCAAAGACTAATTAATACACAGTGGAAAGGCTTGGCTCATCTTAGCTTAATGCAGTGCAACACTGAAGGGCCCGACCAGCTCCTGAGCTCCTCTTTCCCTCTGCCCACTCTTGCTTTGCTCCCCTCTCTTCCCCAGGTGTGATCCCAAGGGCACACCTAAATAAGCACCATGCACCCTAATCTCTGTCTCAGAGTCTTCCTCCTGGGGAACTGATCTAACTACCTTCTGCTTCCCTCTTAGGGCCAGTTATAGGAGTCTTTTTCCCATTAGATCTCGCAGAAGAGAACATACTGAACAGTTAATGGCAACTTGCATTTGCCTTACCTCCCAGCAATATCTTGGAATCAATCATGTAACTTAGTAATTGAGTCTGAATGTACCAACTGCCTTGCCTGTTTTAACAAGGACAAATAGCTTCATCTGAAAATGACATCATTGCCTTGAATGTGAAGGCAAATGGTTGTGTAATGGAGGATGGCTTCAGTAATATTATTGCATTAATTCAAACAAATAAAAAAAAGCAATGTTAAAGCAGAGATGGAAATACAATATCATGGGAAAAGTTCACTTTATGTAAAATACCTCTGTATATAATTCGTCCAAACTAAATCTCCTCCATTAATCACTTTTTATTGAGAGAGAGGGAGATGGATGGAAGGAGGCAGGGACTGAGGAAGGGGCGAGAGAAAGAGAAAGAGCGTGAGAGAGAGAGGGGTTGAGAAATAAAGGGTGAACAAGTGAGCTCACCTAAGGGATTTTACAGTGTATAGTCTGTGTTCTTCACCATAATAAATTTTTGATAGTATCACCAGAAGTGAGTAGCATGGGATTTCTTTATTTCAAAGTTGTATTTAACATAACCACCTCCCACAAAAATCCTCTCCCGTGGAAGAATGAAAGATTGTACCAAAACCCAGGCCAATTAGCCTGGTTTGTTTCAAGTGCACATAACTCAGCAGTCACCTGTGGAACTTAGGGAATGACATCACCAGCCTGATTTGTAAGGCTCTGTATTCTCCTTCCAGAAGCCCAAGGAGCAAAAAGTCTCCATGCTAATCAGGCCCCAGCATACAGCCATCAGAAAACTTGCTTCATAACACTTGACTTTTAGGCTTATTTTTCCAAGTCAACATGCACTTGCTCTCTTGGGGCAAAAGTAATCATTTGATTTGGAGGGTGAGAGGGGATTTTTCTTTTGTGAAATTACAGATTGAGCCACTAACTGGAAAATACTTCCTTAACCCAGAATGTTGGTTCAAATACATTTGTAGAAACACTGAAATCCTCAGGGCTGTCGATTATGCCTCCCATCCTTTTGAATATCTATTTCCACTCCTCCATTTGGGGGCAAGGAAAGAAATACCCCACCACCTTCTTTATCTTGATTCTAACAGTGTCTTAAAACCAAAATGTTAAGTCCTAAGCCAACATCATAACCATCCCTTGCATTTCTCTGGCCCTTGATTCTTGGTTCATGTTTTCCTATAAAGTGGGAATTTCTTTCTCGCTTCTTTATCCACTCTCTTTGCCATCTACCCATTGCTTCTACAACAGCCTTGCCAGCTGGGTAGGATTGACTCCATCCTGAGCTGCACGGGAAGGTGTTGATTGATTTAAGTAAGTAGCACACATCCCCCTTAGACACAAAGAGAGAGTTGGAAAGTTCTGACATCAGTGAGCTGTGGGTGTAAATTAACTGTAAAGTGCTCCCAGTCTTGAGAATCTTTCAATTGCTGAGCCAACACTTTCCTTCTTATTGAGTCAGTTTTAGTTAGATTTTCCATTATTTGCAAGCAAAAGCATGCTACCTGATA